TTTATCAGTTTAAAGGAAACTAATAATGAAAGCCTTATAACTTTATCTGTGGAAAAGGAAGTGCTGAAATTGAATTGATCAGGTTTTCAACTGTCCATGACTTTTGCGGTGTCTGTTTCTTTATTTTCTGACAATTAATTTTTTGCCTTCATCTGACATGGATATGTTATGAATAACACGACTGGTTGGACGCAATTTAACAGTAAACAATAATATTGTAGTTTCCAACGGATGCAGTCGATTAGACCGTATTTGGGCATGCAGATGTCTGGGCTTGCAGACGTCTGGCTATGCGGTGCGGAAGAAGCCAGTTTTTTTTGTGGTCGTTAGTTTTTCATGAGAGAAACAATTTGGCCTTGAATTGAAAGCAATACACCAACGAATAGTAACTGCATGGTCTAGTATATTTTACGAGAAATTGCTTGGCTTTGTGAGAAAGCTAAAATATAGAGCGAGAGTGTACGGTAATTTGTAAAAATAATATAATATTGTCATTTAGAAAAAGTGGAAATATATATGAATATATCGATTACTTTCCCTTGGGGGGGAGGGGGGGTGCTAACTCAAGCCCTAGAACACTTCTCAGTGGAGACTGAAATAAGCTACAGTCAAGGGGACTTTGATTTCTTTTTTCAGTTGCCGTTTGAGTGAGTTAAGTACCGTAGTCTTGTTGAATCGTTCTGTCTGCCAGGTGTTTGGTTTGCATTGATAAAAATGCCGTAGACATCAGCAATCACATTAAATATGTGGACAGTGTCAGTGGCCGGAGCCGAAATAGAGCGTATATTTAATACCTTGCAAAGCACAGTGTTATCGTCTGCCCGGACGTTACATACTAACTTTTACCATCATAACCCATTGCCATTTACTGTGATTATCTGAATGGTGAAATGTACCGCCCTTCAAAAAATGATGCCTAACCGCCTTGTGTTTATCTATTCAGGTTTTCACGCGAATTGATGTCATTGATCAGGCTTGCTATAAAACGTATCCCCATTCGTTTGTTGGTAGTCGAAAAAAGGGATTATGCTTAAAGCCATTGCAATTGGGACCTTAATAATATTGAGATTCATTAAGCAATTTGATCTTCAATTTCTTTTCTCTCCATCAATTGCTTCTTGAAAATTTTAAATGTATACTTACTAGTACTTGGGGATATTTAATGTCTTCACGTCGATATTTGTCGAGAAATGGAAGTCCTTTTTCGTCATTCAAGTGCGACTATAACAGGAAAATATTGAAGAACATGGCCGTATCTTTTGAATCACCTCGGCGACGTTTTCTTTCACCAAGCAGCTTCAGCTGGTGTTGAAAAGCACAGCAGTAATGTTAGGCTGTATGATATTAGTAAACTTCCTGGTTGCTTAGAAACCAATTTCAAAGTCTTTTTTTCATGGCTTACCGTTCCAGCTGTGTCTGCGATGAAAAGCCTTGATATCATTAAATTTTGAGACTGCCATGAATAAGAACTCGTTTTTTTCTGTTGGTTTTCCATGCTATATGTGTACCTTTACAGACCAAGTTTGAGGTCCGTACATTAAGTCACGGATGGAGTTTTTACCCTTCGTTTTATTACCTAAGGCGCGAAACGTAGATCCGTGACTTACAGTAAAGAGAGGTTTGTAAGATATTTATTATATTTCTACTGTGTGGTAGACGAGTTCAAAAAACGATATCAAGTCATACAGAACACATTCAGTTAACTGACGCCGGTGGAAAGCAAAAAGATTAAATTTGAAATCGTTGTTAAGTCGCCTAGCAGGTTTTAGTACACTATTTAAAGAAAACGAAAAGGTTTCAATCTTTATTTGCCAAGAAAGCTAATAAAAGAATTCGATTAATCACGAGTCATTGTGGAAATAAAAACAGCTTAAAATTTAAGGTGGCTGCACAGTCTGTAGAATACGGCTTGCTAAATTGACCAATCAGAGCGCGCGTAGTTACTGAGATATATAATGGGGGTTTATATTTCGCGAGGAAATTCAGGTGAATGAGTTGCATCTCTAAAGTTAGACTTATTTCCAGTGAAATTTTCCCACCATTTCAGGAAATCTTTTGACGCTTCTCAGCTTGCGAACGCAAAGAGATTTCCGCTCGCTGTTTGTAATGCATAAATATACTTTTTATTTGGAAAATACAATCTTCATGAAACAATTATAAGCAGCTGAAAATTCGTTTGCCCATGTGAATAAGAACCAACTAACGATAAAAATGATTTTAAGGTTTCCATGCAAACATGCTCACTGAATTGACCTTTTTACTGCATTCGAAATAAATTGAAATTGCTTGACATTACAATAAAGAAATTCAATATTCAGACAACAGCTTCCGTAGTTTAATGCGGACGTTTCCAAGTAAAGCTTCCTTGATCGAACCTTTTTAATTTTTCATGGATGCAAGACCACCTATGATGCCTTTAAGAGTGGCCTCCTGAAAATTTTGTGGAAAAATATACAGAAACAAAAAACGCAATAAAACCCACAAGACTAGTTTCCTCAGTGTCTCGAGCGCTAAGGGCTTCGCAAGCGTGCGAGCAGATTTTTGCAGTTTCGTGCAGTTCGTTATCTCCAATTTGAAATTAGACAATTGAAAAGTGCTATGACTAATTGTAAAACAGCATGGCGCATTAAATATTGATCAGCCATTAACACTCCTCGAGAAAGCGTTAGATGCCAATAGAACATTAAAGACGTCAGACGTTTCGGGCTTCTTTGATCGAAAGCGGATGACAATATCAGGCTTTGTTATTAGCACATTAATTGTCAAAAATGGCGGAACGAGAATCGGCATTAAAGTTATGGCATGCCAAGATACATCAAAAAGCAGGCAGTGAAGTTTTTCTTTAGTTATCAATTTCTAGGTTTTTTGGCGTAGTGGCAAGGTAGACAAAACGACTAACTCGATCACCAAACCACAAAGCAAAACATAACTGTACTAAACCGAATCTATTCAACTTCTGGCAATCTGTATTGCAAATTTCAGACCACAAAGGGAGCCAATCACAATTCTTCTTTTCTTCATAGCACAGTTTGCCATCTGACATTACATTTTACATTCTAACTTTATCTCAACAGACAAGGAATGAAAAGTTTTATATATATTAAGGACATTAATATATGTATATATTTATATATATTAAGGACATTAAGGACTGTGTTGAAGGCCTGGGAAATAATCATATGTTTAATTGAATTCTCCAAATATTCATAGAAAGGGTTTCCTGAAAATGGCTTTGCTAACATAAAAACTCGGAGCAAGGAAACAAATGTAAATAATGGAAAATTAAATCGCTTTTTTTAAAATCTGAAGTAGGCTATGCTAACAGACAAATTTACGTGTTTGTTTTGTGTGTTTTTCTCAACGGATGATTTCGTGTCGGACTGAACCATTTCATAAGCTGACAGGAAACCCTTTAGCAAAACGTCTCTAGTCATTTCCGATTCACCGGTTCTTGGCTCATTAAAACCTATTCATAATCAACACGTACCCAAAAACAAAACGGAAAACTTGATCAATTATTATATTGGAGCAAATGAATCAAGCCAAACGAATTCTTGTTTAAATGCATGTTACGGGCCCATGGGCGTGGCTGGAACAAATATATTACAGACAAGAACTGTAATTTTCTGGAAGCGATTCAACTGTCAAAATACCCATAGAATCCAAACCAATTAAGACAAGACCTTGACTAAAAGATTTTGTGGTTCCATAGCTTGTTTAATAATTAAAGAAAAAAGAACAAAAGTGTGCATTCTTTCTGTGTGAACTCATGCGAGAAAGACTTTTTCTTAAGGGGAATAATTTTGCCCGTAGTACAAGATGACATGCGCTAAGGCAGACCAACAAGACAAATTTGTTGTCCATATTTTATGGAAATTGCACTTAATATTACAAAAGATGTGGAAATTCTAACAAAAAAAAAAACTAATTTGTTTTGGTTATGGGAGCACGCCAATTAACGTAGAATTTTGATTTTGTGAACTTAATTGTTTTTCTCTCTCTCTTCGAAGTGGGTTTAAACGCTCGGCCATGAGTGAAAACCCCATCTAGATCTTTATGTTAACGAAGGCTTCGTTATTTTGCTTTTTCTTGGTGATACGGCGAGACACTTTCCACACAATACCCTTCGCCTCTTTAAATGAGACTTTCCAAACACCTTATCATTGTAATTAATTTAGCTTAGATCTTTACTTACTTGGGGATTCACAGTTGATCGATTTCTTCACATCGCCATTTCAAGTCGAAAGTAGACAAATCAAGATTTACCGTAGACCTGATCATAAAAGATTGTAGTCTTACTGAAATATATCGACACAGCGTCGGAAAAAAACTAGCCGCATCTATTTAGATCCAGTGAATTCAATGGCTCTTTCACAACTCAGTTTGTTGATGAAGGCAGGAAAACAATATTGGACTCATACTGGTCACCTAATTGTCCGGAAACGATTGAGATGATGTTCCTTTATACGGGTCATACAGAGATGCAGCTGTTTACTTAGGGATAACGATCACCAATTGACTAGAAAGTGGCAAATTGAAGAAGCAAGACGAAGTTCTTTGATTGCACCAAATTCTGAGGCCTTATTAGGGGTGCCAAGGATACGATATATCTAGGTAAAAAATTAACAAGATGTAGGATTTTTGGGGTCTCGGGGGGAATTTAATGATATATGGGACATTAAAATCAGGTAAAACGGGATATCGAGTAGAAAATGGTTAGTTTTTGCAATTGGAATTAAAGGGATACGGGATATTTTAATTAAGTGGTTGTGAGATACCCAAACACCCCTTCTCTACCCCCCCCCCCCCCCCCCCCCCCCCCNCCCCCCCTCCCCGCCTTAACAGGGCCTCATGCTAACTTCTGACAAAACGAGGTATTATTTTTCTGAACTGTTGTCCTGCTAAACTGATCGTGAATCTTAGGAACAAGTTGCTTGCGGCGATTTTCATAAGAGTGCTTTCATGTCTTATTTAGCACCACCATTCTGTTTGGATTTTTGCTGTTGTGATCACTGATGCCATTGCATATCAATGCACACGAGTTGATTAACTCTCGATGCAAGAGAAAAGCTGTTTCCACGTCCTTGGCGAATACAACCACGCATGCTTTCAATGGTTTATCGCCACGCTCTTCATCACCTGACAACACGATTACTCTACCATCCTTTTCACAGTTTACCTTATGTATTTCTTCAAGCAACTGTTCAATGCTTGTCGGACGAATATCCGCTACAATGGAAACGGGAAAGTTTAGAAACGCCGCTAAATGAGGAGCCAGAAGTAACAAATACGTTGAATCCGAGGTCTTGAGGTTAACATCAATGAGAAACTTCCCCTTGTTGTTGATCAGTATTTCAACCCCTATAAACCCAAAGTAGCCATGTTTGTGAAGATAGCTCATCACTGGTAAAGCAACATCCCATGCTAACTTTCTCAATTGCTTCTGCTCGTTCCAGTCCACATCCGGTGTAGGAGCTTGGTGAACCTCGCGAAACGCCGTATCCGTTTTTCGTCTCACTCCCAGCCAATGAAAGTCGCCATTTTGAAAAAGGTAGAGTTGAACGTTGAGAAATTCTTTAATGTGTTGAATGACTTCAGTGATTACGGGTTCCTGGCAATGGAAATTGGTTTTAAGTTCACGAAAAGCGTTCTGAGCTTCATCTTTGTTTCGAGCGAGAAACACGCCTCTACCCCCTACCCCTTGGGTAGTTTTGATCATGCATGGAAGAGTGTAGTTGTCACGTGACATGTACCGAGGGCACGGTGCCCCCATCTCGGGGATTCTGGTCTTGGAACTGAGCTCGTAGTGGATGTCGGGATCGACGGCATGTTTATCGGCGGAAAAACTTTGAAAAGGAAAGTTCACAATCATAGGACGAGTTTTAGTGTCCTCTTTGTCAAAGATTCTGATATCAGGTTTAGGGAGGAAAGGAAGCCATTCAGACCAATGCTGAAACCAAAAAAAAAAAAAAAAAAAAACATGAAGTCGATAAGGAATAACTAAATAAATAAGACAACAACAGTATTTTAGGGTGAATTTCAGGCATGCAATTACTTTGGTTTTGGTTTTCCTATGGTTTGAGATTTGTTGAGTAGTATAATAAGTAAGTAATTGGTTTGGTTTTGGTTTTACGACACTCTATCAATACCGCTCTATCATTGATTACATTAAATTAAGCCTGGTTTCCACTAGCGACTCAAGCGCAAGCGCAAACACAATAATTCTTATTTCACCGTGAAAACGGCCTTGACGCAGGCATAAGCACAAGCGCAAACACAAGCACAAGGATCAAAAAAAATTCCTTTTTCTTGTTCTTGCGCTTATGCTTGCGTTTACGCTGCAACAAGTGAAAACGAAATACCGCCTAGGCATAACACAAGTAGAAGGATATTTACCACAAGTGGTTATGTTTGGCCAATGAAAACACTGGATCAGAATTATCTCGCGCCTAAAAAGTTTTTAAAATGGCGGAAGGTTCGGATGATTTTGCTGGTGCTTGTGTTTGCGTCGAATTTCGTTTTCACTTGATTGCTTACGTTTGTGCTTGCGCTTCAGCTTGCGTCGCTCGTGAAAACCAGGCTTTAGAGATAGATCAAGCTCTCTCGGGCGATTTTGTCACGCCTGTTCATGCTTTTATTTAGCCAGCGGTTCTGTCCCACCGATTCATTTCTTTCATTTTGCTCTTTGGTCAATTAGACGATTCTGTCTCGCCACGTTACGTTATTTTACACGTGTAAGCTATTCGTTACTTTCAAAGGACAGAAACATCTGTTTAATTGCTCCAAGTACGAACCCTTTCAATTTGCAATGGGGCTCAAGAATGCCGAAAAACGAGTGTTGCTGGCTAAAACAACGATGCTTGCCTACGTGTAGCCGTACCCACTCTCTCCTCGGAGGGGGGGGGGAGTGGGTACGGCTACACGTAGGCTACAACGATGCAAAGGACCGCAAACCAAAACGCCGTTGGTACACGCAAGATCCGTAAAAGATCTGATTGGCCAAAAATAGAAACATAACATTGAAGTAAGGCTGGTTACTAATAGAGCCCAAAAAGAAAGCCAAAAATTGTAACCGTGGACAGCTGTTTCGAGCTGGTTAAGTCTCGTCAGCACTGTGTAGCATCAGAACACAGCACAACTGGATTGAGGACCAATTGTCTACTGGCGCATGGTAATGACCTAGACTCTATGTCACTGTCCCGTTAAACTCTCTACGTAGTAATCAGCCCTGCTTCAATGTTATGTTTGTGGCTAATAGCTGTGTTGGGATACTAAGGCATTACCTAGTTACCTGTTACTGGCCCATGGCCTTTTTAGTCACAAGAGGGAGGAGGAAGTGTACGTGTACAGCGCGTTCTTCAAAAACCCTTACCCCTAAGGAAAATCTTTGTTAACAATGAGTGAGAGCTGAGTGAGACCTGGTAGACATTTCTTGACTTGTTATATAAAGTAACAATGTATGAAACCAGGAGCCCATTACCCAGAGCCTCCATCTCCTATACTAACCCTGTGAGGCAACCCTTTCCCGTATCTTTCTATTTTTACAAAGAGCATTGTAGGAGTTCACACGACCCCTTTTCAATAACCAATGATACCTGAGCTAAGACCATTCCTTGTTACAACATAGACTGAGATCTCCTTCTTACGCTCTATTTTGCATTTTCTATCTGCATAAACGAGATATTTCGTGGGAAACCAAGAGACCCTTACGCTAATTACAGTTCTAGAAATAGAATGATACGGGAATCGAAAGGGTTGACTCTACGTTATAGTACATATGGAGGCTCCGGGTGATGAGCTTCTGATGAAACCAGCTGAGTTAAACAATTCGGGTACTTTCAGCCAGCGCTCCGGTCGTGTAGTGTGTAAGTGAATGTATCCTGAATCAAATTTCCCAGGTTCGACTCCCGGTGTCCGTACAATAAATTTCTGTCATATAGATAGATGGCCAAGTGTCGAGTAACCTTCGTGTAAGACTCGTAAATGTGAAAATTAGTTCCACTTATTGAAACTGGCCAGGGTTAGAACCCAAACCTCCTCACATCTGTGCCCATCATGCAACGCGCCCTGGTTCACAAGCTAAGTCGCTTCCTTTTCCCCAACTGCTACTTTTGTTTTATAATCTAGTGTTTTTCTTACTTCTCTTATACGGGGATTCACAGCACGTGTCAGTAGGATAGGAAGCTCATTGCCTGCCACAGGACAAGCTCTCATCGCCTTTAAGTATCTGTGGTCAGCGGTGATGTTCGAAGAGTAATCATGAATGATGTATTTCTTGTCGTTCACGAAACTTGCTTTCTGGTTGAAAGTCGAGGGCCGCTCAGGCAGAATGTACGCCTGAGGGACATCTTTGGCTAAAAGGCTGCTTAGTGTAACTAAGTTGTTATTGTTGATGGCTGTCATGTTCTTTGCATGTCAAGGTTGTAATTGGCATAAATTGCCGACATTACAATCTGGCGTTACGTCCATAGTCCCAAGTCACTCGGGCCTGCGCACCACGACTTCCATTCAAGCACTTGCTGTAAGAAAGTTAAGTTCCAGCATGAGCTATGGTTAGGCCTATCTCGACTGAGTGGTCTATAGTTAAGCAACAGAGTACCTTTTCCGTGTTTACATAGACTTTGTAAACACTACGGGTTCGGAGAATTTGAGACAATTATGCAAACCCGAAACGTAGTCGAGTGTTTGTATAGATTTCGAGAACTGACCCAACACCCCGCGAGTTTAGATGAGGCTATATAAACACGAAAAAAGTGCTTTATTGCTTTTATAAAATGTTTCTCAACGATACGCACGAATCTAAAACGTCACAACCGTGTTTACACACTCTGATCTAAACACACCTATCAACCAATGAGAGCACGCGTAGTATCTCCTTACCTCCGTGTAAATTCTGTATACGAGTCAAGTGGCCCAGCAGGCCAGCGCTTATCCCCGGTTTCCGTAGCATGAAGCAACTAGAAGTATTTCTATTCCGGACCGCTTGCATTATCCGGAGACGAGCACAGTAACCATGAGGCCACCACGCCTTCACAGCCCACTCGTGTTTTTACAAGCACGCTTTAAAAACTGCGTCGTTATAAATTTTAATCTCGACCAGTTAGCCGGAATAAATAAGCGCGCGGTAACAGCGCAGATGTTACAGGCGGGAAGCCAGAAAGTGTCCTGCCTTGGCGCCTCTAAAATCTCGAGCGAGCTTGACCAGGCTTGGTTGATTAATACCTCTTCCAAAAACCCGTCTTAAAGAATATTGTTGCCGCAGGTCTTAGACATTCTCTACATCCTTCGGATTGAAATTAAGATTAAAAATAGAGGAAAATACAAATACATATTTTTAGTAAACTCATTGAATAATGTACATTCATTGATCACCCAATGGATAACGGACTCTTCATACCGCGTGCCAGGTACCTCATGTCACAAGCCGAAGGGGTAAATATTCCACCTGCAGCAAATGTTAAACAGTTTCTGATTTAATGCCAATTTTCGGAATGAACACGCTGAAGTTCAGTACTATTTGTTAAAAAAAAAATGTATGTATTTTCCCGGTATTGTTATGTCTGGGATTGAATCAAGTCCGCGAAAAATAAAGCAACTAGAATGCGCTAAATATTGCCAAAGAGTTTCTCTACAGAATACAAGTCCCGATAACTGTCATTTGTAAAATTTTCGATGTTTATAAAGTATAACATGATGCCGACCAGGGCCCGGAATTGGCGTATGTCATTAATATTCTTAACTGATCACAATTTATTCAGTGTTATTCAAACGTACGGAACGTTTCCATGTGCGACTCACTGCGCGAACTTCTATTGAGGTGGCAAACAATAACGAACCGTTCTGTGGATGCATCAATACGAAGCTTTTAGATAACGAGATGCATAAATCAGTTGAAAGCCATTCGTAGAAAAACATAGCAACTGTATTTAAAAAGACGGAGTAATTTGACCGGACGTCTCAAGAGATTCCCCGCGTAAATCCGAAGCAGAAAATATTTTCTGCAAACTATAAGTGCAATAAAGCACGTAAAAGGCAGTTTACATATCCTTGCTAGACTAAATATTGCAGGTAATTAATAATTCACAAGAGTTCGAAACCACTTCGAAATCTTATAGTTATGTTCATATGTACAATAAAATTAGGCGTCCGTCTGACGAAGACTTGTCAAAAGAATTGCTCAAAATATTGCAAAGGGAAAAAATATATAGCGACGATGCTGTTGATCTCTGCCTAAGTTATCACATTAATGCTTTGAATTCTCGGTAAAAGTAGGGCAATAGAGTTCCTTCAGCTGATTGCTTTCGCTGGCAATGAAAGGAAACAAATTCAAGCAATTGATATAATATCCGCCGCTGCAGGTGTAGACGCACTTGTCCCAAATAAACCACTAACGTGCCTAAGTAGTTATTTCGAAGAGTGCTTGTTTCGTCTCTTCGTAATTTACTTGTTCACGAGCTTATAGTCAGAGTTACAATAAATCGAATTATTCGCCCCGTTAGTTAAGCCAGCTCGCCACTTACCCATGTAATAGTATATCTTGCACCGCGGCAGAGATGGGGATCACTTTTCGGCATCGTTTGATACACTGAATTAACGTGTATTTTTAGTGCGTGGGAAAAACCGCTGAAATGCTGGTACCGTCAACACCACTCAGCGAGCTGAACCTGAGAAGCTAGTTTTGTTTGAAGCAAGCTTACAATATTTCACGTTAGTTAGAGAAAATTTCAGTCCCTTAACTTCTGCTCTCGCTTGATAGACGATCTTTAAGATAAGACAAGAACTTAGAACATGTTTTTAAGTGTCATTACATTCTAGCCAGTATAGTGCGTTACCAGCACTGAGACACTAATAAAAGTAAAATAAAATTATCATAATTCAAAACCTTAAAATCTAAAACTTTGACGTCCGTGCAGATAAGCTATATGTCACTGACGACTCGTGCATTTAGTTTCTAGGTTTTATCGCGCGTCTGTTGGGATAGATTTGATA